TCATCATGAATGTTCACATAAAGGCAAAGTCATTTCACACACTGTAGATAGCTCCATCTTTTTGCGTGCCTGAAGAGCCACAATGAGAGGACATCTTCAGCTGCGTGTTGACCTGTAAAAATTTTCTCTCGCTGAAAATGTGAAGATATCTGGATCTCGAAGACAAGCTTATTGGCTTAAGATGCTCTGTGTTGATATAGTTCCTCTGAGTAATGGCCCTGGAATACACCTGTCACCAAAGCGTATCCAGAGGCAATCATAAAGGGAGAAAAACTTTATTGCTGAAGAACATCAGCTTAATAAGTTTTTAGAGGTGTGTGAATGTTTGAAAATTTCGAATATCTTCTAATAGCATTTGTTATTTGATTTAATTCACACTTGAATTTTACTATTCAAACAATCCAAATTTCCTGAAGACAAATACAGTCAACATTCAATTGTCAGTGACCTCTTCAGATTTGGGTGTACTTTCCCCATCACACTCCTGTGCTGTGGCAAAGCTGTTTGTCAGGCTCTGTAACAGTCCTCAATGTATTGACTTAAAAAATAATGCTTGTTCCAACATGGAGATGTGGCAGAGGTGAAGGCTCAGTGCTGTTTTATACATGGAATTCTGGCTAGAAGTCCAAGAAATATGGTGCCAAAGATTTTTAGCATTCAAAATTTCAGATTTCTTAACATGTAGGAAGCACATTTGACCTTCAGACTTGAAGCGAGCACACCGTTGTCTGCCACATCACTTAGGCTTTTGAAAGAGAAGGAGAGGCTGAGGAAGTAGCGTCTCTGCCTTTTACGTGCGAAGTGTTGTTGACTGCACTTTGGTTGCACCAAATCGTGTACATGGATATAACGGAATCTCTTCATTGCCTTATTCTTAAGTAGACAACTAAGGAAATGCCACTCCGCCAGCACTTTATTGACCTAGCCAAAGGAAACACTTTTGTGCTGCTATTTTATAAAAATATGCTTAGGAATTCTCTACAAAATTTTGTGCTGCTACACTTAAACCTCATTATAACGTATTAGGATATAATGAAATAATGGATATTATGATGTAAATAAAATCTCCTTAAGAGCTCTATAGAGAATCATGCATTTTAAACCTCGTTGTAACGAAGTAAAATTGACCGGTAAATAGATATAACAAACTAGTCTAATAAATAGTCTATTAAAAAAAATTGATCATAGTGTGTTAAGTATATCGTTTTCTGCGGAGTTTAGTGCTCGTGCGGTGCGACTCTTTCAAAACTCAGACGCCTGTATCAGACATGCGCTGTCTGTGTTATCGTGTCAGCGTGTTGACTGTGTTATCGTGATCCGTGCGGTTATCACTGGACTGCCCCGCCCCAATCACCTATATAAAGACGTGTTAATAAACTCTGCCGTTCTTCTTGTTCCGGTCAACATGTAGTTGCCTCTGTCCTTTGTCAGACACCTGACACGTTACATGGTGTCTGAAGTGTCAGCGACAACGATGGAATTTATCAAGGCTCCGCCCCCTTGCAACTGACCAGTAATCTCTCGGAAAAGTGGAGGCGCTTCAGGCAGAAGTTCGACCTGTACATGCAGGCGACCACAAGGCGTTAGTGCAGCGCTTTTGCAGTGTCACAATGGCCACTGGCGGCCAGTGGCATATGCATCTCGTGTGTTAACGGACACAGAGCAGCGTTATGCGCAAATTGAAAAAGAGGCGCTTAGCATTTCTTTCGGCTGCGACAAATTTTATCAGTTCATTTACGGACAGAAGATTGTCATCGAGACGGACCACAAACCTCTGTTGTATACAGCTGCAAAAAAAATTTGTGACATGCCCCCTCATCTGCAAAGGTGCTTTCTGAGACTTCTAAACTATGACGTTGTTTTACAGTATGTCCCAGGGAAGCACCTTATTCTGGCAGACATGCTGTCACGATCATCTCCGGCTCCTCAGGACGACAGCAGTGAGGCTATGTACGACGTTGAAGTACACGCAGTTGCAGTCCTGGGTTACGTGGTCACTGAAGAGACGTGCCAGAAACTGGTGAATGAAATGGCAAAGGACGACTACCTGCGGACAATCATCTCTTGTCTCTCAACTGGTGACAAGATCGAAGGCGAGCTAAAGCCGTTTTCCTCTGAACTTTCCCTTTAAATGGCATATTGCTAAAAGGCACGAAAAAGATGCATGCACCGTGATATCCTGGGAAGAATTTATGCGGTGCATCTGGGTCTTCAGAAATGCAAAGAAAGGGCCCGTCGTCTTGTTTTTTGGCCTGGCATCAGCCATGATGTCACTACTATGATCCAGAGTTGCCCCACGTGTTGTGAATACGCTTATAAGCAACAGCAGGAGCCACTGCTGATGCGCCCAGTCCCTGCTTGCGCGTGGTATCGAGTTGGTGTAGATATTTTTTTCTTTCACAGGAAGTTCATACATTGTGGCGTTCGATGCACTTAGTAACTTCCCTGAAGTCGAGAAACTTGCCGATGCCACTGTGAGGACGACCATCACGGCACTGAGTGCCATGTTCGCACGGTATAGGATACCCATGGAAGTGTGCACCGACAATGGGCCACAATTTTAAGTCACGAGTTTCCAGCCTTTGCAAGGAAATACGATTTTTGCTCGTGTTACGTCCAGCCCTCACTCCCCACAATCTAATGGCCTAGCGAAAAAAGGGGTCCAGGTTGTCAAGCGCGTAATGAAGAAATGTGCGCACGTACGCGAGGACTTCTGGCTGGGTCTGCTGGCCTACCGCTGTACGCCACTGGAGGACGGCCGGCCGATGGCCAGCGGAACTTCTGCAGGGCAGATGCCCGAGAGCTAATCTTCCTAATTTTTCTGCGTTGCCAACAACCGTCCTGAAGAAGCACCAGCAGAAGAGCAGCGGAAAGCCCCTACCGCCTTTGGCTAAAGGATCGGTCATGAGGTTCGGGGACAAAACATGGACACAAAAAGGGCAAGTCGTTGCAACTGCTGCGCCCAGGTCCTACAAAGTTCAAACTGAAGATCGTCGGCTGTTCAGGCGCAACAGGCGTCATCTTCTGCAAACCGGTGAAAGGTGTGCTGTAGACGTCAGCGACGACAGTTATTTCGAGGGTGAGCCAGATGACCCCGCTTCACCAACTCCAGACATCTCACCAGCCGCCATAGCATGATCACAAGGCCGCTCGCCGCGACAACAGTCCACCACCGACCGCATAGCACGCGCATGTGCTGCGCGCCACGAGTCGCCAACTTCTCCAGGTCGTACACTGGGCCCATGAAGGTCTGCCCGTACAGTCAAGCCTCTAAAGAGACTTCATTGCGATGCTTCTTTCAATCAACTGCCCTGAACTGTTGTTTTCATTACCCCCCAGGGGATGTATCGGACATGTGCTGTCTGTGTTATCGCGTCAGCGTGTTGACTGTGTTATCGTGATCTGTGCGTTTATCACTGAGACTGCCCCACCCCCACCACCTTTAGAAAGACGTGTTAATAAACCCTGTTGTTGTTCTTGTTCCCGTCAACACGTAGTTGCCTCTGTCCCTTCTCAGACACTCGACACATCACAGCGCCGACCTTACAGCCACGCCCCACGCAGCTGGAAGAGCCGTCCCCCTCACAGAGCCAGTGGAGAGGATCGAGAAAGCGCTAAGCGGGTCACATGACCGAGAAGCGGCCCCACGGTGCAAAGCAATTTCCCTCTCATGACGGCAACGACTGTGTCTCCGCTGCTACCCTATGCAGCATGAAAGGAGGACTCTCCGCGACAGCTTTCTTTTTTTTTCTTCTCTCTCCGCGCGTGGCCTTGAAAGGAGAAGGGTCTCTAGTGCAGAGACGCAAAAGAGAGAAGCATGGCACATGCGCGTTGCAGATCGGCATTTGAGAGAAAGCAAACAATCCACCACAGTCTTTTCTTTTCTTTTCCTTCTTCGCGCGCAGCATTGAGAGGTGCTGCCACGGGATTGGGCTTGGTGCTGAGAGCATTTTCGGAGCGCGGTATGTTTGAATTAATTGTCGCAAGTGCTTGCGCGTTCGAATTACAGGGCGTTTTCGCTCATTGGAATACACATAGCTTTGACGGGACCTCAGCGTGAGCTCAAATTACCCGAAAGTTCGAAATAATGAGATTCGACTGAGTTTATTTTCCGTGGCACGCATGGTCACGTTGCGGTACATCAGGTCGTGAGGCGGTTTTCTTCTTTGCATGCTTATAGATGTGCGCACATGTGAGCATACATTGCCATAAACTGTTATAATCGATATAACAAAATAATTGATATAACGAAATAATTGTGGCTCCCCTTCAACTTTGTTATAATGAGGTTTGAGTGTATTTCACTTCAAATTATTTGAAAAATATCCAAGAAATGTTCTAAAAATAATATATTTGATTCACACTCATCTTTCATTATTTGTATTTGCTTTGCACTTAAAGCTTAGCTATTCACACTGTTCTATAAATTTTTCAGGGCATACTTTACCTGTCTCTATCTCTTTTTTTTCCTGTCAGCTGAGGGGGACACTAGTTTTTCTTTTGCGTCCACGATTGTTTGGTGGGCATTAGATTTAAGGAAAGAAGGTGATGTTTCTCTTGAGCATTATCAGAGAGTCATTGTACAATGAGAAATAAGTGTAAAATTTAAACATATAATTGAGGTTTTTATACACTATTTCTGTGAGAGGGTTTCGCCAAGAGTGAACGAATTCGCCTTAAAATGTGGGCAGTCATAAAACTGGGGAGCATATAATTGTAGTTCTGCAGTATTTGTAAATAGTAGTATATCGATACTAAATAGTATATGTGTGTATCAGCACTAGTTGACTAACCTTTACTTCCCTTGTGTTTGTAAAGAGCAGGATATGTAGTACTAATCAGTTATAGTTTTTGTTTGACTTTACACGCTGCCACTGTTGTCATGTGCAATACATAATGGCTCTAACAATAAGTAGAGTATTGTTCCCGGTTAAAACTGCAAGTAACGTCTTGATTCCTCAGTGGCTCCCACTGAAATACAACGATCTTATTATGCGCAGCAACCAACGTCAACTTTCAAATGAAGGATGCGGTCTACTGGCTTCACTTCTGCAACAAGTTATGGCAAGCGACGCGGTTCTTTCTGTCAGCTGCTGAGAAGCTTGGCAGCTCTCCCCAGTTCATTCCCCTTTTGCAGGTATGGAGATAATTGACGTTTTGTTTTCTTTTGCCTTTGATGGGAAAACTTTTATAGTAAATTAGTCAGGACTGTTTGATGCTTGCCAATAATTTTTACAGGGTTCTGAGGTGTATAAGGCAAAGAAAAAGAAAACAAACGCTAGGCCTGCATCCAACACAGTCATATTGAAAGCTGCAAGAGCAATGTTTCTAGAGCCCACTGTAAACTCTCTTGTGACTTTTAATACAGATATTCTTGCAGGATATCTGTTATGCCATAAATCATAATTTTTGTAAAGTGGGAAAGCACCCACTGTGCCATTATTCATAATTCTGCAGAGAAGCGAGACACCCTCTACATGTCTCTTAGTCATTCTGGATGATTTGCCAAAGCTCGTGATTATGAATAGTGGTTGAGTCCCTTGTAATGTGTTGGGTGCATTAAACAACCCACTTTTTACATAATTCACATTATGCGATGCTTGGTTGTTCTTTTCATTCTTCTACCACAGCATGTATTATCTGCTGATGTGACTCCTTGCCCAACATGACATCAGTATAGGGTCTTTTTGTAGAGGGGTTTCAAGCACTGGTGTAGCTTTGTAGTAGAAAACTACACTACTATGCAGAGAGCCGAGTTCAAATCCCACACGATCCTAGACACTTTTACAGCAAAAGCTATTATGAGATCATAACTCGGGTCACTAGCACCGTAGTTGTTCGCTTCCGCCTCCGGTGTCCGTAAGAAAATAAGAAAACAATAAAAAAAACTAGTACCAAAGACACAGTGGGGCTCGAACCTGGGTCTGCTATGTCCCAGCCCAGTATTCTACCACTGAGCCACGCCGGTGCTCGGGACTTATTCGCAAACTTGCATTATGCAGGCTCGATGTTGAGAAAGGAATCGCGTTAAGATGAGCAATAAAGTGTCTTAGAACAAGTAAAGAACATCCAGGCGTCACACATTGCGAATAGTGTAACAAGTGGGTCGTCAAATGCTCTGACCCTCTACAAAAGCTTGTTCTTGATCACCTATTAACTGTGGCGCATACCCACTTCAGGTATAATTCTTCATCGTGGTCAGCCACTGTATGAACAATTGGCACAAAATTTTTTGTAAGTGTTTAGCGGATACTACACTTCTCAGAAGAATGACGAAGCATAGCATAGCGAATGCGGGCTTACTACCCAGAAAAATATTATTATTAATGCAGTAGTGGGTACCCAGCAAGTGTGCTTGCAGCAGTTACCCAAAGGGTGTTTAGAAAAGGCTCTAAAAGGCCGCTCTTCTAGCTTTTCTTGTGACTGTGCTGTGCTTTTCGTGCAGGCCTGGCATTTTTTTTCTCATTTCGTATGGTACAGGTAATGAACACCAGAGGTAATGGACAACTATGGCATTCGTAATGGAAAATGCTGCAAGTCACACAAGGCTTGGAACAGTGAGGCTAGGTGTTATTTTTTAAAGTCTAATTTGTAGGTTGTTGCGAGGCTTTGTGTGGGTGATACTTTGTTGCTTCTGTGTATCTTCTCAGTGCAAAGAGGTTTGAGTGAAACTACACACAGTTACAGGCATGACATGGATTACAGTTACAGGCAGCATGGAGAAACTCAAGCTGAAACCGAGCGTTGCCATCTCTCATAGATCTACGCACATGTCATCATTCAAGTAGGGCTTCTATTGCTTCGGGGTTTTTTCACAGCTGCCATCATCTTTCCTGTTTCTTAATATTCGCTCATTTTATGTACCATCAAAGCACTCCATACAGATGTTTTAATGAAGCTGAAACATGCAGCCAGAGTATTCATCACTAGGTTAATGCTGTTGGTTTATTAAAGCTTTTCTCAATTACTGGTAAGTCTGTCTAAAAATCTTAATTGGTATTTGCCACCTGTCTTCTGCTTTTTTTCAGTTTTATGGATCAGCAGTAAGTAATAAGATTTGCCCAGTTTCTGTGGCACATACCGATTGGTGATGATGATAGGTTTTTGTACACACCAAAGCTTTTATAGCCAGCTTAAAAACGGCTGTTGTGGCCAGATAGCAGCTTTCGCTGTAAAATGTGTGGGCAACTTGCACTAATGCTGGAGTCAACAGTGAGGCTTGTGTTCACTTAGCTTGTCCTACTCGTGTGCTTGCTTAGCTTTACCTTGCGTTTGCTTGGTCTGGCTGAAAATAATTGTTAGAATTTGTGGGAAATGGGTCGTAACGAACAATTGACTTGGCTGACCCTCAGCGTCGTCGTTTCTCAGCTGCAGCTTCGGTGCGCTATTCAGGATCATCATGAATTTCATGCAGCACTGACAAGTGCGACAACGGATAGAAGAAGCACACTAGATAGGTGCTACCTCTCAACTGAACTTTATTTCTGCAAGGTAACAAAAGGAGGACGAAGAAACACCAGGTCATAATCACTAACACATGGGTCGTGGTTGCTTCTTTCATCCGCCATCCTACTCTTAGCGCTACATGGAATTCACAATGAACTCTGACGTATTCGCTCAACCCGCAATCTGACAGCAGTCCCAGATCAGCACGCCGTTGCCAGAGCCCTTCAATGCTTTTCTGGTCACGAAACTTCTCCATCACGCTTTAGGGGGAGCTTGCTATGTCGCCGCAGAGGCCATGCGGTGGCACTAGAAACGCGCAGGGGGCATGAAGGAGAGCTTCACTGCGTAGAGAGAGCTGAGGACCCAAGAAAGCCGGTGGCATTCACGTTCATTCTTTCTTGTTTTTCTGCATTTGTGCAACTGACGACTGCGCTAATAGTATGTATAGACACGGATGGTGTACGTGGTTGACGATGTCCAAGGTATGCTGTGTACCAGGTTGTCGCTCCTACTACAGATGTACGAGCGAAAAGGTGTCATTTAGGTTGCCTTTGGATGGCGATGGGAACTGCGATACCGCGACAGGAAGCTTTTGGATTTACCTTTCATTCTGAGCATATGAGAAAATTTTTGACACCGCTCACGTTATCTGCACTGACTTAGATGCTTGGCATTGTTTTTTTGTGTGTGGTGGTTAAAAAAAGTTTTCTTTTTTTTATTTTCATTGAATCAATGCTAACTAAGCTAATGTCTTCTTTTTATCTTAGTTTGCTTATTTCTTGTTTTTTCAATAGCTTGTTGCCTTTATTTACTCACCTTACACAGTTTTTCTACTCTAGAAAGAGTGATGTTCATAGCTTTCCGTTTCCTGAGGTAATATTTAGCATCTTTTTTTTCTTTCAATGTAGCATTCTTGCCTTGTTTACTGTAAATTAGTGGCTCAACAGTGTGATGTTTTTATATAAATGCTCACGTTGCATTTTTCAAGTTTTGAATAAATTGAAAGCGTAACAGAGCTTTGCGTGGGAATACATGTGCTTATTTCCTCTAGATGAGAGAAACCCGGTTTCATTTAATTTACTCACGTCTACCCCGTGAGCAGTCTTCATCAAGAAATTCGTTGTATCTTGTGGTACAAGCGTAGCACATCTAAGCAAAGTAACGTACATGAATTGGTAAGGTGCCACCACACCTGAGTGCCCTTGTGATGCTGCACAGTGTAAAGTGTGACATACTTTTGCTCGTGCAACATTGCCCATGGAACCTGTAGCTGTCAAAGTTACACATTGGAAATAAACAGCTCACGGTTGCAAGCTTGCAGTTAAAGCTGGGCTATAGACTCGATAAAGATCAGCATGTGTAGACACTACACACGGATATAACCTCGCGAAATGTTTGTCATTTCCTATTTTGAGTGTTACCAAATCTATGTGTGTCAGTCGACAGATGAGTGAACTTGGCTTTTATAAACTGTAAACGCAGGAATGTCGCTCTTCTTATTTTGTAATGCAGCTATGTTCCCCGGCCTTGGTAGTCTGTAAATAGTGCGATCAGCCCTAGCTCAGCTCTTTCTGTGAGACTTTATTTTTTGAGTTGCATGGAAAGTTTTTAAGGCTTGTGCAGTGTCAAGAAGCCTTATATTGTGTGCCTGAGTAAATGCTCTCGTACTCCACTGTGGCAGGCGAGAAATCGCGCATGAACAACATATGCTGTGAATATTGTGTCCAACAAAAATGGATCCATCGCAGCCTTGATATCTAAAAAATATATATGCTAAAATAAGTTTTTGACATTCCTATGCAACAGCCACATTGTATGTAAAGTGAAGTATGAGGGGTAGTTGCATTATTGCGGTTTGATGCTATATAAAGCATTGCCTGTAACCGGCATAGTATTCAGCCGAGAGCAGCGCGCGCACATGAATGCCCCCTACGTTGACCACGGTGACTCTAGCAGTGGCATTTGTTCCCGTATGAAACTAGACAGATTTTTGTGACCAGAAAAGCATTGCAGGACTCTGCCGTCGCTGATCACATTTTTCCTTAGCATCACGGTGAGTTTCACAGAAGCCGTTCTTTCCTATGAAGTTCAGAGTTTTTTCCGTCTTCCTGCGGCAGTTGTGTGCACACTTTCGGCAATCAGTGCATGCCCATGCATACACTGATTGCCATTGATATATTTGCCTATTGCATGCTCAAGTAATAGGCGAATATATCAGTTTGGCATGATAGGAGGGTCTACATGAAAGATAACTGGTAAGGCATTAGATTTCATCTTTGTGCAAATATAATCAACGGTTGGCTCACACATGTGCGCTACCACTACTATCGATATGCCATGCCTCAATCATCAGAAGCCTTTATTCATTTCCATGCCAGTACAAGACTTCTCATTCATCAGTTTTGTTCCAGCATAGTCTGATTGAGCAGCTTGTAGGCAGCAACCTGTTATGCCAAAACAAATGCTGTCCAGAGTGGTACAGCAGCATAGGTGGCACGATTTTTCATCGAGAGTATTTTACTGAGGCATGGTGCACCAACTGTAGTGACTACTGTTATGACCGTCGTCAGTAGGCGCCATGTTGTCGCTGAGAAGCGTAGCCAGGCAGAGTTCCCAGGCCTGGAAACCCAGTTTTCTCGGAACCAGCGTCCAGAGATGACGGGGGAGCGGTGCTCTTTTAATCCTCGAACA